GTTGCCGTGATTACCACGGCAACGCTCCAAATCTCACGAGAGTGAACTCTAGCCACTCTAACCACTGGGACCACCAGGGATTCCCCACCGGACCACCAGGGATCAAAAAATGTCCCCCCTCCTCCCTCAGTAAAGGTAAGAAGGGAGGGAGGACATAAATATATATTTTTTTGTTTTTTTAAAAAGAAAACATTATTAAAAAGCCTCCCTACCCTCCTTCCCCCCCATACACACACTGCCCCACAAACACTGCCCCCATACATACACTTCCTCCCATACACACACTGCCCCACAAACACTGACCCCCCATACGTACACTGCCCCACAAACACTGACCCCCATACACACACTGCCCCACAAATAGTGCAACCCATACACACACTGCCCCACAAACACTGCCCCCCATACACACACTACACACACTGCCCCACAAACACTGCCCCCCATACACACACTACACACACTGCCCCATAAACACTATCCCCCATACACACTGCACACCCATACACACACTGCCCCACAAACACTGCCTCCATACACACATTGCCCCACAGACACATATAGTGCCCCCACACACTACAATGCTGCCCCCATACACACATTGCCCCACACACACATACAATGCCCCCCATACACACACTGTCCCAAACACACATACACTGCAAGCCTCACACACACACACTGCAGCTCTCTCACACACACACTGCCCCACACATACACTGCTTCCTAACACACACTGCAACCCTGACATACACTGCCGCCCTCACGCACTCACACACACACTTCACTGCTTACACACACACACACACACACTGCACCTTTCACACACACTTCACCCCTCACACATACCACTGCTCCTATGCCCTATATCCCAGCAGACCCCAGGTAAGTTGTCAAACTGTTCTTAAACGGTTTAACTACTTACTCTGGGATGAGATCCTGGCACTACTGGCACCATAATTTTTTATTTCCCAATCCGGCCCTGCACAGCTGGGACCATAGTCACCAATAAAACAATTGGTAACACACTACGCCGTGGAGGACTAAAATCCTGCAGCGCCCACAAGGTCCCCCTGCTCAAGAAAGCACATGTACTGGCTTGTCTGAAGTCTGCCAATGAACATCTGAATGATTCAGAGGAGTACTGGATGAAAGTGTTGTGGTCAGATGAGACCAAAATCGAGCTCTTTGGCATCAACTCAAATCGTTGTCTTTGAAGGAGGAGGAATGCTGCTTATGACCCCAAGAACTCCCAACCGTCAAACATTGATGTGGAAACATAATGCTTTGGGGGTGTTTTTCTGCTAAGGGGACATGACAACTGCACCGCATCAAAGTGACGATGGACAGGGTCATGTGACACCAAATCTTGGATGAGAACCACCTTCCTTCAGCCAGGGCATTGAAAATGGGTTGTGGATGGGTATTCCAGCATGACAATGACCCAAAACACACAGCCAAGGTTGGCTAACCAGTCTCCAGACCTTAATCCCATAGAAAATCTGTGGGGGGAGCTGAAGGTTCAAGTTGCCAAACGTCAGGCTTGAAACCTTAATGACTTGGAGATCGGCATAGAGAAGTGGGGCAAAATTGCTCCTGAGATGTGTGCAAACCTGGTGGCCAACTACAAAATCAGCAGGGGATCAAATGCTTTTTTCCCTCACTGTACTATGGGGTTCAAACCGCGTTGTTCCAATGGTGCGATAACTTGGGAAATACTTAAACTCTGAGTAAACTAAATATGCAATAAGAAACATAATTAAAGCAGACTTAGCGGGCACTTATAAACAGCGGTCTTCGCTTGTGGAGTTAGGTGATCCTTGGGAGGATATGGAGGTCATGGCTCAGTATCATAGAGCTTTATGTTGCCCCTTTTATAGGTGCTGTTCAAGGGGTGAACTCCTCTATGGTGGTTGGGTTTAGCTGTGACAAGCTCGAGCCTCCAGCTCTCGTGGTAGCTTTCTGGCCCAGCCGCTGTTGGAGGTAGGAAGTGCCCAGGGTCCCCCATCTATACTGAATTTTCTGCTGGCAGAGGGTGAGTAGAAGTTGCTGCAGGGCCTTGCATCATGTTATAGTACTCTGAGTGAGGTCAGGGAAGAATGATAGAGACAAACCCTCAAACACCAATGTGGTCCTCTCTCGGAACACCGCCAGGATAAGGGTCTTGTTGTGTAGGGTTATGACTTGCACAATAGTCAATGGTCTTTGGTGCTCGATGAGGCCTCCTAGATGGTAAGGCAAGAGTTGACACTTTAATTGGCCTCCTTGACAAAGGCAATGTCATCTGCAATATTCGTCCATAGTTTCGTCAGCATGCTCTTTAGTAGGTCTGCTGTGATGACATGGATGGAAGCCTGTTGCCTTGTCCTGTCTGCAATCTAGCCAAAGCCCCTTCACCTGGTCGAATGGTATGTCCTCTGAGGATGATGAGAATTCCTCGTCTGACATTGCCATTTTGTCCCATATGGACTTTTGAAGTTCATAACGCAGAAGTTCTCCGGTGTCCATTCTTGGTGGGCCTTTATCCGCCCTAGTTTTTTTGTTTTTCCTTCCCATGTCACCTTCTCACAGCAAATGAGGGGTAGTTCAGTCAGGTTTTCTCCCTGAAAACCACTATTTTACTGCGTTAGGTCGGAGCCCAAGAAAGTGTGACAGCCTCGTTCAGCTGCTAGCTCCGCCCCCATTTGTTATCTTTTAATATTTTGTTTTTCTGCTATGTTGCCCCAGTAGGTTTTCACATTCCATGCATTTGCTTTGGCCTATGTCGGCCTTACTGCCTGAGCCCTCTCTAGGTTGATTCAAGCATCCTTACGGTAGGACAGGGGCTTCTATGGACAGTAAGCAGTTTCTGCCCCCTCCCTGCTTCTTACCTGAGGCCAGGGAGGAGGGAGCATTACACTTCCTGATGGTCAGGTGGCTTAGTGCAGGCCCCTGCTTGCTTGAATACTGAAGAGGGTGGCCAAGACTGAATGCTACATCTCCGGCAGCCAGGCAGCAGCTCCTCTCCTTCTCTCGCATGCATGTAATGTGAAACTTTGCCATGGCAACCCATGACAACGTTCAGACAGTCGAGCTCGGGAGAAATAGAGGCTAAAGTCTCTTGGGCACACTTTTCATTATACTACACAGCAGCGCCTGCAGTGCAGAGATATATATATATATATATATATATATATTTGCAAATACTTTGCACTCACCCTTCTTGTTGTTTCAAATGTTATCCGCTTTGGTACAATCCCGTGTTGGTATATATATATATATCAGAAAAAAGGGGTGCACTAAGACACAGGTCTTTTCTGTGTAGTAATCGTGTTCTTTTTTAAAAAAAAAATTACATAGTTCACAAAAAATACAGTGATCAACGTTTCGACCCCTCAGGGTCTTTCTTGAAACGTCGATCACTGTATTACATCTCTAATTAATTAATATGTGTGTGTAACGGATCACCTGGCACCCCGACTGGGTACCTCCATTGAAGGATGCTCCTAGCACTTCCTGAGGACTCCAAGCACTGCAGCAGACACCAAAATCACCGAACCGTAGGAGCATATGAATGTTGTATACAGCTGAATAGGAAAAACCATGCGAATAGGTTTACACTCCTAGCAGTCAAACTGGAACAGCATACAATAAATCATCGCCCAATAATGAGACGACACTTCACTTTGAGGGTTAAGCAGGAACTGACTGTACTAGCACATACAGCCTCTTTTATTCCCAATCCACAAATTTAGTACTGCCCACAGGGTTTTACAGAACAACCAATAACACACGTACATTACAGAAAACACTCCCAGCAATTATACACAAAAGCCTCCCCTCTGCTTGTGATCTAATTATGGCACACAATGGGTTAACATAATTATCACCAGCAGGAAAAATACAGTATCATAAAACACATCACAGGGACCCCAAAACATGCAATAACCCCATAAATAAATATATCATTGGTGAACCACATATCCAAAATTCACCCAGATTCGTTCAGTAGTTTTGAAGATACAGTTTAATGCAGATTCCGCAGAACATATACAGGCTATATGAAAAATAATAACTGTATAATGTGTCCCCTGTTGTATAGTTTAAAACTACTGAACAATGTCTTCGTGCACCAAATACTGGCGAGATGGCACCGTGTAGAAAAGTCCAAACAGTGTCTGTGAGTTAAAATGGCCGCCATCCATTGTTCTCACCGTGTGCTCCATCCATTGTTCTCACCATGTGCCTCTGATACATGAAATGGTGTCTTTAAAGGGTAATACATCCCAGGGGCCATAGTCACATGGCAGGAGGCTGGCAATCAGTCTTCTCCAATGCCCAGTGGCGAGGTCGGTTTTGTCACAGTGTGTATCTATCAATATTCGCCTTGAGTACCTGAAATGGAAAAATCAGTCAATATATTGATTATTTCTTTGTGTATCTGCCCCTGGCCAAATCAATGAAACAATGCGTGCACGCTCCCTGAAGTAATTCACACCAGACACAGGTTCCAGGTTGTTGAATAACTTGAGGAAAGTTTATTCAGAGGGGACGGCAGGTCCCTTTTAAAGCAAAATTACATCATAAGCATTGTCAGAGATAACATAGAATAATACATCAATTATTGGTTAGGTGTTAAGTGGTTGCTTTAATGCTCTGCCTACTGGAGTGATGTCACCGGGACCATGAGGGTCTCCCACGGTTTCCCGGCGCCATCTTGCTGCACGAGGTAGTTAGTTGGTGTTAAGAAGGGAAGGGGGGGGGGAGGAGGGTTTAGAAGCTTCTAGCAGCCATTTTGATTAAAACATGTGTGCTCAGCTTTATATATGATGAGTAAATAGACATTTTCACTAACTAGGAAATATGTGCAGACCTTATTTCCACAACAGTCCCCCCTAAAATGGCTATTTACCATAACAACTGCTACTGTCCCTAATATGTCCCTAGTTGCCTGCAACCTATCTGTCTTAACAAGCATCGAACACTTCACTCCGCGGGTAACCCGCAGTGGCTAGTCCACCACATCTCCACACGTGAGACTCACCTGTTAAGACAGACGCTTTCCCTACACTATCCCTACAGGAAAGCAGTCGTCTGTTTGAACTGATGTGATTGTAGGGGTGTATGTGGAGTGTCATCTTCAAGGTCTGTGATATCTTGATGTAGGAAAGTAGGGGTCACGTCATCTACAGTCTTATCTACCGCTTTCTGTAAGTACTTCTGTATGCAAGGGAGTATGCAACAGGTTAAAAATAAGAAGATGATGATCATTATAAGAACAGCTGTTCCCACCTGGAAGAGGGTCCTTTGCCAACCATTCATCCATCCAAACCATCTGTCCCAAGTGTCAGTGACTCCTGAATTTTTCTTTAACTCGTCTGCAAGACTATCTAGCTTCTCTATGGCCATAGTCACCTTACCATTGGGCCCAGTGTTGTCTGGAATGTATGTGCAGCATGTCATGGTCTCAGGGAGGATTTTACATACTCCCCCTTTCTCAGCTAAAATCATATCTAGGGCCATTCTGTTCTGAAATGTCATTTGAGTAGTGGCTTGTAACTGTTCTGCTAGGCCCTGTAGGGCATCCCTTGTGTAGTTGACAAAGCGCTGCTGATTATAATAGATGTAGTTGATCCAATTGACATTTTTGTTAGCAGTTATCATTGGAATTAGGGATTCAAATCCTGCAGCCACTTCATCTCTTGCTTTGAATTCGTTAGGCACCCCCCTTGGCACACCTATGGCATCAATATACACGTGGGGGTCGAAGCTCCCTCAGATAGGAGCCTCTCGTTTGGTTCTAGAGTGTGCATATGTAAGGTTTAACGTGTTATGACTACCATCTGGAATAATGTGGATAGGCATTATGACTTTGGTTAGGGCACACTCCCCCCACCATTGCCCAGTTAATTGGGACCTCAATTGTTTGTCACCGCATAACCAATAGATATCCCCGATTGTCTTTGTGTGGTTCATTAGCAGTGATGCAGGTGGATTATGGTAAGTTGAGCAGTATCCTGATGGGAATTTGCCCAAATACAACCCAGTGTTCTTAGGTATTGAATAGCATGTGTAATTACCTGGGTAGATGGTGACTCCGTCAGGTGGTTTCACATGTCCATGGGTGATTGGGTAAACTTTCTTCCAAGATTCACATGTTGAGGAGTTGGTGGCGGATTGTGCATAAAGACTCAGAACACATAATTCTACTTCAGGAGGTAGGCTCAGAGGTACTGTGCCCAGATGGGGCCTGGCTCCTCCACATACATAACAGTTAGTCTTATTATGTGAGTTGGCGTTGTACCTCATCCATTCTAGCCACAAATTAGTGTCTGAAAACCCAGTCTCTACTGCCATGGTATCTTCAAATGTGGGGTTAGCTATAGCTACCATGTCATGTAGGGTCTTAATATGTGGTTTTAATGGGTTAATGATCATGTGAGTGGTTCCTACCCAATCCGGGGAGGTGAGCATGTCTTGTAGGTAAAATGTCCCCAATGCATTATGTGAACCACCTCCCTTCCAGTACATTCCCATCACATATTCCCCTGCATCCCTTGGGCTAGGGTGTTCTATATTCAGGGTAAGTTTAATGGGAGTTGATCCTATGGGTTTACTCAGCGTCATTCTAGAAAGTAAGGGCTTCCCGTCTTTGTCAAGTCTGTCCAGTGCAACTTGAGGTCTGTAGCCCCATGGTCTACCTGTATTCCACCCGGCAGCTTTCCATGAACTACAATGGTGTCCCCAAACTCCTCCAGTCACACAAATGTATGGATCCTTTTTATTAGGTATGTCTTTGTATATGGCTGCATATTGTGTTTGTGGAAATGTACAAGTAACTATGTCACAGTAATCAAAGGTGTACGTGGCTACATCAGTATCAGAAGAATTGTACCAGAAAGTGTAAACGTGATTATCTTTGGTTATGGCCACTTGTTGGGCCCAGGCAAAGTGTAGCAACATAAGAAAACACAAGACACATAATAAATTCATATTGCAACAGGATCAGCCTCTTCTGGAGCAGGCACTTTTTTGCAATGTGAAGCGTGTATCCAAGAACTCTTTCCAGCTAGTTTAACTGACGTTGCTGTAATCAGGAGCACTTGATAAGGACCATCAAATCTCGGTTCTAGGGTGTGTTTTCTGAGAAACTTCTTGACCATAACCCAATCACCCGGAAGCAGCTTGTGTGTACCTGTATTCGACTCAGGATCTGAAATAGAAGAAAACACTTGGGCATGTATCTTGGTCAAGGCATGTGAGAGGGCAGTCACATAGTCTACCATAGCATCTGACTGAATCTGAAGCTGTTGGGGAAAGTAGCAACCTAACCTGGGTGCTGTACCAAACAAAATCTCATAAGGTGACAAGCTATATTTTCCTCTGGGAGTGTACCTCACACTAAACAACGCTAGTGGGAGACTCTCGGGCTAGGGCATGTTAGTTTCTTGTGACATTTTAAGCATTCTGGCTTTCAAAGTGCCATTCATGCGTTCTACCTTACCGCTACTCTGTGGGTGGTATGGTGTGTGGAATGCAAGGGTCACCCCCAGTGCTGACCAGACTTCCCGTGTTAGCGAGGCAGTGAAGGAGGTCCCTTGGTCACTTTCAATTACTTCTGGAACTCCATAGCGGCAAACAATTTCTGTCAAAAGATATTTGGCTGTAGTCCTCGCGGTGAGATTAGTCACTGGGAAGGCCTCTGGCCATCCTGAAAACATGTCCACTATGACCAATGCATATTCATAACGTCCACTCTTTGGCATCTGAATGTGATCAATCTGGATCCTCTGGAAGGGGTATTGTGGTTTAGCTAGATGGTTAGGTGCAGTCTTTATAATCTTTCCAGGATTGCATTTAGCACATATAGTACAAGATTTACAGTAATTCTGTGTTAAGGTAGTAATGCCTGGTGCTTCAAAATACTTGTCAATCAGTGAGTTCATCAGGAGTTTCGACAGGTGAGCTGGCCCATGGGCCCATTGGACCACCGCTGAGTACATACTTCTGGGTAAGCAGAACTTGAGATTGATGGTATAAACATCATCACGGAGTACAGCTTCTTTATTCTTCCAACTTTGTTTCTCCTGGGGAGTAGCAGCAGCTTGTTGTTCCTTCAGAAGCCTAAGATCTGTAGGTAGTGTTTGCATAGTATAGATGGGTAATGTATCTGTGGCCACTCTTCTGTCCACTTCCCATCCTTGCCGTGCTGCTTCCTTAGCTGCCTGATCAGCTAAGTGGTTGCCACGTGCTTCTTCTGTGTCTAGTCTTCCGTGGGCTTTTACTTTCAGTACTGCCACCTCTGCTGGAAGTTCCAATGCATCCATCAGTTCTGCAATGGCTGCCCCATGTTTTACTGGGGTGCCGGTGGCCGTAAGAAATCCTCTGGTCTTCCAAATTAGGCCAAAATCGTGTGCTACTCCCAGGGCATATCTTGAATCCGTGTAAATATTGACACGTAGACCTTCAGACAATTTGCAGGCCACAGTTAGAGCTATTAGCTCGGCTTCTTGTGCAGACTTAGTTTGTTGTAGGGCAGCTGCTTGTAATACTTGACATCCTGTGGTAACTGCATACCCAGTGTGATATTGTCCCTGTTCATCAGCAAATCTTGACCCATCCACAAATAGTGTTTGGTCCGGGTTGAGTAATGAAGCTTCATAGACAGTTGGTAGGTGTGTAGTTTCCATTTTCATTTGTTCAAAACAATCATGAGGAATATCTAGGTCACAGTCTGTGGTGAGTGGGTCTTCACAGGCTTCTGTGTGGTACCTTGGGTACCCTGCTGTACAGTAATTAATAGTCTTTTTGTTGATCCCCGTAGAAGTCAGTTGTTCTTGGGTCATTTGGCTCCAGGTTTTGGCCATCGGGCCTAGGTCTTTCCATGAGATGTCGGGGGATCTGGTGAGAGATATGTGTGGGATAGCTGTTTCCCAATGATGATAGAGATGTGTTACATTCTCTGGAAGATGTACTAAGATGAGCATGGTACTGGTGGGGTCCCAGAATAAGTCAGTCAGGGTAATTTGAATTTCTTTGAGCTGGAATAGTTCTTCCTCATAGTTCATATCAGGGTCTGGTACGTCCTTAAACCACAAGGTACAGTGAAGTAGGGCCACTGATTGTTCATCATGTGGAGGTGCAAGTGCAGGCAGCTGCAAATCTGCTCGAACCTCTGGGTTGATATCCAGGCTATACCAGTGATGCACAATTCCCCCCTTGGGAAGTGGCAGAAGAGTGGCTGGGTTCAGGGAAAGACATCTCTGGAGTTTCACATTGTCAGGTAGAAGTAAGGAGGTTTGTAGACGGAGGTGACGTTGGGAGGAAAGGTGTTTAGGTTGAACTTGTTGCAGGATTGCAGTAATGTCATGAGGGGCCAACACTGTGAGGTGATGGCCAAGAACAAAATCATTGGTCTTGTCCAGGAGGGCGCTGGCGGCAAACACCGCTCTGAGGCAAGAGGGGCTACCCCTCGCAACAGGGTCAAGCATGCAGGAAAAATAGCCAATAGGTCGTTGCCTTGACCCATGTTTCTGGGTAAGGACTCCGGAAGCATGTCCTGACTTTTCAGAGACAAACAAATTGAAAGGAAGTTGGTAGTTGGGTAGGCCCAAAGCAGGTGCAGAAGCAATAGCTCTTTTCAGATTGCGGAAACAGGTGATAGTTTCTTCAGTGAGGTGAAAAGGCTCACTCCTGAGGGCATGATAGAGTGGCTGCATGAGCTTTGATGCTTCGGGTATCCAGGACCTGCAGTATGTGATAAGACCCAAAAAAGCATGAAGAGTCAGATGTGTTGCAGGTAAAGGGAGTTGCAGAATAGCTTGCACACGTTGAGAAGTTAGATGTTTGGTGCCATGGGAAAGGCAATGTCCCAAGAAGACCACAGAGGGCCGGCACCATTGTAGCTTTGATTTTGAAGCTTTGCAACCAGCTGCAGCGAGGAAACATAGGAGATCTTCTGAGTCACGCTCTGCAGTGGGCAAATCAGGAGGACAGAGAAGGAGATCATCAACATATTGAAGCAGGACAACATCCAAATGAGATTTCTGCCAGGGATCCAGAACCAGGGACATGGCATGAGCAAACTGTGTGGGGGAATTCTGAGCCCCCTGGGGCATAACAGTCCAGGTATATTGTTGTCCTTCATGAGTGAAGGCGAAGAGAAAGCGGCAGGAAGGGTCCAGGGGGACACTGAAAAAGGCATTAGCTAGATCCACTACAGTGAATATTGTGGAAGTTGGTGGGACTTGGGACAAGAGGGTGTGAGGGTTTGGAACAATAGCAGTGTCTTTTATGGTTACTTCATTAACAGCACGGAGGTCCTGCACCATGCGGTACTGGTCGGGTTGACCCTTGACAGTTCGCTTTTTAACAGGGAAAAGTGGTGTGTTACATGGAGATGTGCACTTGATGAGGGCACCTTTGGCAAGGAGGCTTTCAACTTGTTTGGTAATAGCTTCAGCTTGTGCTGGCTTCAGAGGATACTGTGGTCTACGAG